TGGACATTTCCCCATAGGAATTATATAAAAATCAAATGTTACGTTAAATGATCTTATTTAAAATTGTATGGCTCTTCAGATCGGACTTTTAGAAATTAACAAACATTCTAACTACTTAAAACACTGCGTTCAATCCACTTGTAAAAAATAAGAATCATACTACGATACTCAACAAAGTATATCTTAGTAACAACAGTTGCGATGAAAGAATTTTTAGGTTCACTAATTTCCTTAATACGGTACAAAGTCTGTAATCCAGACATCCATTATCCGGACCTCAAAGCCACAAACTTTTTTTGTATGCTTTATGCATGCGCGTGCATGTCCCATAAATTGCTTCTCACAAGTTTCACCACCTGAAATAATTCAAAGTATCTCTGCTGCTGATAACAGAATTTCGGACACCCCCCTTTCTGAGTAAGACACAGAAGAAAACACTTTATAGACATCCCACTAGAAAGAACGTAAGTTAATGCATTTTCTGACCTTTTATATCTTCATGTACATTTCACATTTTACTTTCTTATTATATATATTTCATAAATTGCTTTTCACTCAAAATTTATAAAGAATCTTGTATTAGCAAAAATGCTTCATTCAGAATGAGCTCTTTGGTATTCTACTTTGGTTATAAATCCCATCACTTCACGGAACTACAATTTTTACCTAACTTAATTTGCCAGTTTGGCATCATCATTCTTACTTGAGTAAAAGACGAAACACCTTTGCATTTATTAATTATTGTTCATTGAATGGGAGTTGCTTTGTTTCCCTTGAAAAGTCAACTAATTTCCGATCAATAGCAATAATTACTTGTTTTTAATTGTTAATTTCTTTTTCAAAGTTTGAAATTTTGTTATTCATGATTTAAATTCAAGTCCCCGTAAAACGTTTTTTTTTTTTTTTTTTTTTTTTTTTTTCTCATAATTTACATCCAAATTACTTTAAAACATAATTTGCGGCATTTAACTTCCTACATATGGGTTCCCTCTTTTTTGATACTTCTACTAAATTTATATTAGGAGATAATATAATCAATAGTTCTTTAGTAAATTTATATACACACACACACTGGTGGATAAAATTGAGATGGAACACCTTTTCCCATATACCTTGAGAAATACTGGATAGAAATAAATGGAATTGGGTATGGTTATAGTTTATTGTATGGCAATAATGTGTACTAAACAACAATGAAAATGCCATTCATTAGTATGAGTTATGACCAAGAGTTCAATGTATCCAAACATGAGGTTGAAAGATGGCAGTGAAACTGTGGCTAGTATGGTGTGTGTGGTCGCCTCTGACGGACAGTCAACATGCACAACATGCTGTTAACTAAAGAATTGAGGAGTGTCTGTGGAAGTAGCACTCACTCCTTCACCAGAACAGTTTTTAACTCCTGAATGGTTCTGGATGGGGGTCGGCAATTTGTAATACCCTTCCCATGAACATTTCAAGCATGTTTAATAGTAGTAAGGTCAGGAGATTTGACTGGCCAATTCAATCGGTGAGTATATCGCTTTTTAGATAGTTATCAACCAAGTGGGCCCTATGTGGTCGTGCATTGTCGTCCATAAAAATGAATTCTGGGCCAACAGCAGACCTGCAAAGTTGCAAATAAGATTTTAAGATCTCCTGCCTGTACCTCTGGCCATTCGTGGAACCAGTGTCAAAGACATGGAGTGGTATGTGGGCATCTCACATGATCCCCACCCAGACAATTACTATATTGGTTCGCTTCCATGATGTTGCTGGGATGATATCGGGTCCCAGGCAGGGTTGCTGGAGTGACTAAAAACAGGTTGACTCCGACTCCAGATTTTGTTGGACAATTTGAATTTGAAATGAAATTAAAATGAATTGAAAAAAATTAATGACAAGCTGAGTTATTATTATTTTTATTTATGAACTGTATACATTAATAGATAGTTATTTTCTATTTTATTGACATACAGTAAGACCCCGCTTAACGCTGTTTCGTTTAGTGCTGTTTCGGTTTAGCGCTCTTTTATTTCAACCCGGGGATTCTCCGAAATGCGCAGCGCTAGGTTTCCAAATAACATATCCGAAACAGTGTAGTTGTGTTTCTTGCTTTGTGGACGCACTTTTATCATTTGAAACATTTGTTGACATTATTGTAAGTTTAAATTTGTATAATACTATAACGATTAATACAGTGACAAATATTATGATCTTTAGTTTTTATCATGGGTGATAATAAAAAACAAGAAAAGAAAGCAACCAGAAAAAGCATTTCACTGGAAACTCAAATGCAAGTGATTAGAAGATTAGATTCTGGTGAACGTCAATCTCAAATTAGTGCTGCATTTGATTTTGGCAACTTCAACAATAAGGACAGTTCTTAAGAATAAAGAAAAAATACTGTCATCGGCAACTGCAACTAGAATTACCCGTTCTAGAAATAACATTATAGAGGAAATGGAAAAACGACTGTCTATATGGATTGACGACGAAATTGAACGCAATATGCCATTAAGCCAATCTATCATAATGCCTTCGTGACAAAAAGGCAGAAAATTGGAAACCCAGAATAGACTGAATGATCTGACTGAGAATTTTATTTGTTTTTAAAAGTATATGCGTTTATATTGTTTTTATTTTTGTAAGAAATAAATGTTTGATTTTATTTTTATTAAAAAAACATTATTAAATTTAATGCCTAACCATTTTTTATCCGTCTTCCCCTAACCCCATTATTTACATGTTAAGATAGCCTCGCTTAGCGCTGTTTCGCATTACGCTCTACTTCGATGGAACGTATCCCCCGTGTTAAGCGGGGTCTTACTGTATAAATAAATAAATATAAGGGAGGAGGATGGATGTGATATTTGCCATTAGTGATTAAACTGATTCATTTAGTTACAAATCTCACTGGCAAATTTAGGTAAGCAGCAATAGCAGCAAAAACTCCTAAAATTGATGCCATTCTTGGGAAGCGAGCAGGAAAAGGAGCAATTATTGATCAAGCAACATGATAAGGAAGTTCATATTTGATGATAAAGATGTTTTTAGAATTAAGAACTTTTTCAGGAGATGTAGATAACCCTAATGTTTCTCTAACAGAAAGACTGTGGAACGATCTTGCAGAATTGGAAACTCTTCTTTCTATACAATATATATAGCCACAAAAATGCTGCAATCTGAAGAACTTACAGGAGGCGAGAATAGAAGAATGGGATGTTTGTTCTTTCTGAAATGGAGGGTTTATTGCAGAAGGAATCATTTCTTCAATGAAGAAAAGAGAAACTACTTTGCTAGACAATGAGATCTTGCTGGGTTTAATATATGGAGATCCGAAACACCGAATTTTCTTGGTTAACAATTGGATGAACAAATTAAAAAAGGCAAAGAAAGTCATCTATGAACTTTCATTAAGAATGAAATTATTCTCAGAACAATTGGAGAATTCGAATCAGGACAGTCAAACTGCAGACATTGCAACTGAATCTGTATCATCCTTTTCTAGCGATGAATTAGACTTTGAGAAATATTTTTGGATAATATTGAAAAGGCTAAGGCAAAGCGAATAAAAATAAAGAAACAAGAGCCTTTAGATATAAAAATGAAAAAATACAAGCATATACGATAAGATTTCTATACGGACTTTGAAGAAATAGAGAAATATGATTGCACTTGCAAAGACACCTCTTTCAGAACTTATAAAAATCAATCCTGAAAGGTTAAAAGAAGAGCCCTAACAGTAACAACTCTTCCTCCTACTCAAGTTAGTCTGGAAAGACTCTTCTCAGCTCTGAAGTTTATCAAATTGGATCTATGGATCTAAAATAAGGTTGTAGATTGAATCTGGACTTATCCATGAAGACAGTGTTAACCCGATGAAGATGTGCTCAGTGTTGACTTTGTATGCACCATTGGTAAATGTTCTCTTTCGAGGGAGGGATTGAGTAGGATGTAAATAGCCGGCTTTCTGACATAGAGTCCTGTCTCAGGAACCTTCTGGCAACTTTCTTCATTGAAATTGATGTTCCTGTGGCAGTAGTGAGGTCATGAGACCGTTGTTTGATGGTAGACATCATTTGGTACTTGGCTGAAAGTACCCAAAACTGGTAGTCATAGGTCATTGTGGCTCTCGGCGAACCTTGTCTTGGTTTTTTGGACACTGGCCTGCTGTTATTAAACTGATTCCACAAATTAGAGATGACACTTGGCATTACATCCAGTTCTCATGCAACCCGAGTTTGAAACTGCTTTGCCTTAAGCCTAGCCATAATTCTCCATCTCATACCTTTGTCTAAGCGATGATGTGTACTCATTTTACCTAAAAAACAGCAGAAAACAAGACGATTATTCAAGAAAGATAATAAAAATCACTTCTGTGTTACAGAGCGGAATGAACTGAGCAGCTGGACGCAGACATTTATACTTCCTGCTGGCATAGTGACGCCCACAGGAATACATAAACTCACCTCAGTGACACCAGCACCACAGTGACATTTTATGACAACAAACTGCTCAGCTTTTGTGTGGTATTTTAAGAGAAATGTGGGAAAATATTTTCCATCTGTTAATTTGTCCACCAGTGTATATGCAGGGTACATAGAAAAGTCTCTTTAACCTGAAAATTCTAGCGAATGGGGAGAGCTACAGCTATGCAAGTGAGGTAACAGTATAGTAAAGAGACTATGCTTGACTTAATGCAAACAACAGCATGCATTTTAGCCCTTCAATCTTACATCATATGTCATACCTCCCCCAAATAGCTCTGCTGTAACTCATGTCTAGTTAGTGCTGCAGTTTCACAGAATAGCATAAAAATATATATTTACAAATTACAAAAAGGCAGGATAATTTTTAATTTTATCATGGAGTTATTAAGTACCAAATTTATTTATACACCTACAACTGACTTGTAATTTTAACTTGAAACATAATCATCTGAAAATACTGTTTCATGTATCTCAAGGATATTAAGATTCTGTAAAATGGAAAAATTCTTAATGGTACATTTAACTTACCAGGATCATGAATCATATAATGGATCCATCCCTGACTCTGCTGAACTCCAAGACTTCTCCATTCATTTTCAGTCATCAAGTGAGTTTTTGGTATCAATTTTGCTATTTCTTTTGGAACAATAACATGCCTAGAATAGTTTTTAAGGCTTATTAAAAACACACAGTATACATTTAAAATGGTGAAAACTCAATAAAAAGACTTTGGTTTTGATTTCAATATTATTAATTGTTTTCTTTGAAATATGTTAAGCATAAACACTAGAGTTAAATATTTTGGAAAATGTACATACACTGCCATGTAATTTGACTGTCTAATTTGTAGTGATCCCTGATCGCACACAACAGGATGCTAATTGCCATTTTGACAAGCACTTAAACCGTAAACTAGAAAAATGTTTATCTGATGGATAAACTAGAAAAGCACAGGGAATTTGGATAAACATTTTAGTTTTTAAATTTTTTTTAGAAAGAAATGCTTATGAAAATTAATTAGAAAGTGCTACATAGTATTGCAGAAAGTATTATAAAGCATTAAATTAGAAAGTATTAGAATAATGGATTGATTTAAGAAGTAGTTAAATATTCTGGAAAGTTCTAAAAAACTTTTTAACACATCAGCATCTTTTTATGCTTAATGCCAAACAACATACACAAGAAATTTATATCCTTGTAGTTTCTTGTATTTTTTAATAAAAATTAAATAATTCTTCTTATGAAAATAATTTTTCAATCAACTAAGTGAGTGGAAAAGCAAATACTCGTACTACTTTCATAGAAATTTTGTGTTTATGTATAATGTTTCAGAATTTTTTCTTAAAATCTGTGAATATCTTACTAGTACAGTCAAAAGTCGTTAATACGGACACCCGTAATCCGGACCTCAAAGCTACAAACTTTCTGCGCATGCGTCAACGCATAATGCATTCACGCATGCGCATAAGCGTTTACACATGCGCGTAATACCTTTATGCATGCGCGTTTAATGTATAACGGACAGTATAAGCTAAGCTAAAATTATCTAATTATCTATTTCAGTTAATGTTGCAGATTGCGTTGTTCCTTAATCTTCGAATTAGATCCGGCTTATTATTTTTTGCAGACTGTTAGACCAATTTTATAAAAGTAAGCTTGAACTTTCGATTATGTCAAATAGAATTTCAGATGCTGGATACTGCCAAAGGATCAACAAAACGAAAGCATGTTTCGATGTCCATCAAACAAAAAAGTGGAATTGCTGCAAAAAATGGGTAAAGGCATATCCTTGTTTCTCTAACGATTCCGAAATCTGTTTACAATTTCATGCTGCTCTGCTGGGGGGGATGTTGCGGCACGCAATGAACTGGCAGTTAATCTGTCAGCACTATCCTTATCTTCAGGGCAGATGTTTTTATTTTATTTGGCTCATAATTCCTTACTAAATGTAGTATTTCATCTCGATGTACTCCGTCTTTGATATGATTTAAATCAAATTCCTCGTCATTATAATTCGCTTCCGATAGTGAAGAAAGTGAAACAGATGTTATTGAAAACGAAAAAATTTCGATTGACAAATTAGTCGGTATTCTAGACACAGCAATTATAGGACTTGAACAACGGAACTTTGTAACTGAACAAGAAATTATGTCTGTTTATAAAATTAAAGAGAAAGTATTATCACATAAAACGAAGCAACTTAAACAACTTACATTGAAAGAAATGTTTAATAAAGTAAACAAATAAATATTAAGTTTTTTTTTTTTTTTTTATGTTGATACCCTTTAGATCATAATTGTTCTTTATTTCATAAATTACGGTTTCATATTTTTAATTTTATAATTTCTGCATGCCCTCTTACCAGATTTAAACTGATGATCTATAATCTGGAATCGCCGAAGTCCCGGCGAGTCCGGATTAACGACTTTTGAATGTATCTGGAAATACAAATATGGTAATATTACCAAAAAGAGTTGTAGAAATAAAATAAAAAAATAATTAAAATTTTTTAGCCTGTATATTTAAAATTACCAATGTCTTAAATTCGAAACCCTTTGTGGTAGAAACCAGAAATATTCTGGAACTAGCAAATGAAAGAAATAAAAGGAAAAGAAATTGGTCACCAAATAAAAAGAGAAAAAATATAATCTAAATGGTTATATTAATAAATTATTTAACATATTTATTTGTTACACAATAATTTAAATTATTATTTTATTATAGGATTATTAGATTAATATTTTATTATATGATGATTTAAAGTATCTAACATATACCAACATTTATTATTTAAGTAAGTTTTGCAGGAAAATAAAACTGTACAGCAAAAAAAAAAAAAAAAAAAAAAAAAAAAAAAAAAAAAAAAAAAAAAAAAAATTGCTGAGCTGTACAGCATATGCATGCGTCATTTATCTTTCTTCAGTTAGCGAAAAATTTCTACATTTTTCACAGCCAGGTATGCTTACAGTTTTCAATTTTCTGTCATCAGAAAAAAACATTTTTTCTACACACACACACACACACAAAAAAAAAAAAAAAAAAAAAAGAGGGGTACTTAACCCCCCCCCAAAGAATTTGTAAAAATTGTATGTTGGATATAGTACTCTGTTACTGTAACTGTATATTGGAGGGGGGGGAAACTTTTGGCCACTAAAAAATTACATTTTTGGCATATATTTATATGTATTCTGTGTTGCATATATATTTTATAACTTATTGTTCTAACTGTTGCACATTTCTATAAATGCATCTCATGTGTAGTTTATAGGTAAAAGCTACTTATAAGGGGAAAGTTGGAGATGTTTTCCTAAAAAATCGTCAAACTATCAATATTCATCATTACTCGGCAAACATTATCAGCATATAAAAAGCAAACAATTAAAAATACAAATTTGAATTCTGAAATAAGTATTACATGATTTATTAAACATTATACATACTACAGGATGGGCCAAAATTCATTAAGGGGTTTTAACATGTAATATTTTCCATGACAATGAGATGAATGTGAATGTGTCTTCTGATTGCTGTAATGGAAGTATGGTAAAAAATTCGGTACTTTTCCGTTTGGCCGGCGCAAATCTCGCCAAGCAGACTTTATTGGCGACAACATACAGTATACACATAAAAATATTTAAAAAAATGTTAGTTCTAAGAATTCTTTTTTTGAAGGCATAAACATTTTAATATCGCTTAAAATTTTATAAAAAGCCAATAAATAAAGACAATAAATTTGTAAAAAGACATTAAGAATTTATTATGCTTTCATGGTTCAACATCCTGATTCGCCAGTTCATATCACGTGACCCCAAGCGATCTCATTCACATAAACTACTCTACAAAAATCTAATGCTCTCAGTAATTATCTACATTAATTTCAAGTTAAATCTTAATTTGGAACAGAAGCTTAAATGCAAGAAATATTTCAATTCTTACGAATAGCTTACTCAGAAATTATGTAAAGCTGCAGTGCTTTACTTCGCTAATGCATTCTCGTTAGGATTGATGAATTTAACCCTTGACTTTACCTTTTCTATATTTTCGGCTTCGGGTAAGCGCTGTGATTGCATCCTGATTGCCTTAATTACCGAAAACAACCTTACGGACATAAAACTGAACTATCTGGATAAAAATTCTATGTAATTATATCCCAGTATTGAAAGAAACAATCAATATGATGAGAAAAAGCTGCGAACTTGTTTTGAAAATTGAGGCGTAAAAGGAATATTCCGTTCCAGCGAGAATTTTCCGTTTGGCATCGGTTGTACCATTATTGGCGACTTTATCGCTTGCGCCGGCAAAACGGAAAAGTACCAAAAATTCTAATCACCATTTTCCTCTTATGCTGCAGATTGTATAAAGCAGACTGCCAGGAAGTAAGAGATGGAAAAATTTCCAGTTGTACACAGAACAAAAGTTGTTATTATATTAAAATAAAATATTAAAGTTATTATTAACCGCTTCCCTTACACATTTTTTTGAAAAAAATTGCAAAAAATCATCACATTTTTTTTTTTATTTATTATTAAATACTAGGAAACGAAACAAAACAAAAAATATAGGATTTAAGTTGAATTTTTAATTTTTTACAGGTGTAAAAGCATTTAGTTTTTATATTAGTTTACTATGCCGAGTTATCTCGGGCAAATAAAAAAAATTAAATATTAGTCGTTGTATGAGAGTTTTTGAAACAAGGGACAACACAAAGTGATATCTAACATTCTATACACTGGTATCTGGTCTCTTCTCTTACTGGCTTACCTCTGGAATTTCTTTTGCGGGAGCACAGAGGACACTGTCTCATTGGATTTGATTTTTTTTCAGTAACAGGAATAACATCTGGAAAATGCCTTGAGGTTATAATCAATATTTGAAAAATCATCGCTTTCGCTTTCTTGCATCATCGCCATTTTACTTTTTTCAACGCAACTATCATTCTTTATACATTACTAATCCACAAGCCGACGTATACTAGACAATAGGGAAAACACGTGACCAGTCCCGCCCAAAAAAAAAAAAAAAAAAAAAAAAAAAACGCAAAACCATCTGCCAATAAAAGCTGAATATTTCCTTTCATTTCCTCCAAGCCGAGTGAAACCGTGATAAAACAAATTGTACTGACAAATCCTGCTTTGCCCAGTTTTCTCGGGATAATAATTAACTGCAATATATACGAACCCGGGATAATCAGGCGGTTAATATTTCATAAAATGGAGGTAAATTGTCATAATACAGAGAGGATATTGCCACCAATTTCATGCTGTATGCACGTTCTGAATTAGCGATTAGTCGTTTGGCTGGATGTTTCAGAGAGCATGGTTTGATAGCTGATTTCCTGCGATTCAGAGGACCATACTCGGCATGAACACAGCAATTGAAGGGATTCAGTCCACTTTCCAGTATTTCTTGAAAAAATTAAAAAACGTTCATTACAGTGTTTTACAGAAAAATTAACTTGAAGACTTTTAAATTTCAATGGAACTTTTAATTTGAATTTATTGTTAAAATGCTATCTATAAGATTTTTTACTTTAACCCTCTGAGCATTATGACTGGCTTTATCCGGTCATCAGAAACTTTGCTACTTGGCATACATTAGCTTATAATTTAAAATGTTTTGCTTTATTACTTTCCTTAATATTGTAAAAATCATCTTAACAAATGTAAGTTTATGAAAA